TATGGGAAAATGGACAGTTAAAAAAGTTGTGAGGTGCCCCAACCAATGTGGCTCAGTCAGTTGGGTGTCCTCCTGCAAAGTGAAAAGCAGGTTCAATTCCTGGTCAGGGCATGTGCCTGGGTTGTGGATTTCTGTCCCCCAGGAGACAGCCAATCAGTGTTTCTTTCTCTCATCAATGTTTCTTTCTTTTCTCCCTCCCTTTCCCTCTCTTAAAAAGGAACAAGCTGTGACTTCCCCAGTCACCCAGAACCAGCTTATCGGCATGCTCAAAGCACTGACCCAGGTTTCACTAAGTCTGTACCACTAATCCTCATTTCCCACCCACATATGAGGAAACTGAGTGACAGCCTTCAAGAGCTGAGTCTGTTTTGTGTGGCCTGTCACAAGCTAAAGAGACCTAGAACTACCTCTAGGATTCTGCCCCCCTCCCTTGCCCTCCTTACACCCTGTCCCTGTTCTGGGCATCGTCCTACCCCAAACCCAGGAGGTCCAGGAAGGCTGGAAGTCTTCCCTGTGACATCACATAGCTGGTTGCCAAGGGAGACCTGCAGACCTACTCCCCAGGCAGGGGAGAGCAAAGCCCTGCTGCACAGAAGGCTGGGCCACTCCTCCCCCATCACACAGGCTCTCAATGGAAGCCTTGGTCTGTGCGTTCTCTGAGCTGCGCATAAGAGAAGGTGCAGGGCTGTGGGGAGAAGTGGCAGGAAGAAAAATATACTCTTATCCTGACCTGGGCCGAAAGCCACCAGGGTGGCCTCAGAGACATGCATGCTTGGGAGAGAGATGGTCACTGGTCCATGACATGTGACTGGACTGTGATTCTGCACCCACTGTGCAATTTCTCTACTGGCACCAGAATACTCACTCTTTCCAGGGTAGCGGGGTAAAAAGGGGCCAAAAGGGCTTGAAATCCTGAAAGAGAATTTGGTGCTAAGGCTAAGGCTTCTCAGACCTCCCTGTTGGCTGGGAGAGGAAAGAGGAGTAGTATGTTGGGTCAGGGGAGGCCAGAGTCAGGACATTTAGCCCTACTGACAGGCAGGTAAGCTGAGGGTCAGCAGAGCAGTGTGGAAACTATCACATGAACATAGGGCTGTTTCCCCTCATGGCTGCTGTGGCCCACAGACCACCACCCTCCTGCTTTCCCCTCCGCAGATGCAGTAAGCTGGGCCAGAGGACTCCCCAGTCACCCTGATACACCATCCAACATCTACGAGGGAGGGCTGGGGGTCCAGCAGCAGCAGTGCCCCAGTGCCCAGGGAAGCAAGCCCAAGAACTTCCGGCTACGCCACCTCAGGGGCCTGCCACTCTACCTGCCAAGCCACGTGCTGCCTGCTGGCCAGTGTGAGAGTCACTGGCTGGGCCGGCTCCTGGCAGAGGGCTGCCTCCCATGGCCTGAGGGCGTGGCCTGGCCCCTGGACCTGCCACAGGGGACTCTGAACCCAGATAACAGCCACCACTCAGCCCTTCTGGAAGCTCAACTGCCCAGGGACAGCCTGGGAAATACAGGTGAACACCTGTCCAGGTGAAGCAGGAGGGTAAGATCCAGGGAAGGGTTGGACCCAGATGGACCCAGATAGGCCCTCTCCACTCCCAAGCCTTCTGGGTTTCTGTCCCATCTCTACAATTGACAAGCTCCCCCACTTCTGGACCAGGGTTCAGTTTCCCCACTTGGGGAAACTGAAGAACCCTCATGGGTTAGATGAGGGTTCTTCCAACCTTGACCACATTTCCCCCTTCCTTCTCCCTCCCTCATGGATTATCTTTAGAGACCCATTCCCTCCACTCCTGTTTTGAAGGATGCTGGGTTCAGGGTGGGAGTCATAGGATAAGATAGGCTGGCAACCTCCCCTGAGTCCTGACTCTTCTCCCCACTTTCTTCAGCTTCCAGTTCCAGCATGGATCTAGCCAAGGGTGGCTTCTCCCAGCCTGGTACCTCTGAAGGCTTGGCATTCAGGCCCAAGAGGTCCTGGGAGGCCTCAGAGGAGCCCAAATGTCCACTGTGTAAGAGAACTCGCTCTGGGCCTATGGAGAGGACACAGGGATCCCAGGGCCAGGGCTGGTTCTCATAGCTCAGGACAGGAGGGGGAAAATGACCCAGGAAGTGGTAGAGGAGGCAGGTCTAGAGAGGGAGGGCTCAGCCCCACCAGTAGCCCCTCCAGACCGAGACACCTGCTGCTGCCCAGCACCAGAGCCTGGGCCAGCCTGGCTCTGGCTTGAGGGAAACTCAAGGGGAGGGAGAGGGAGGTCCTGAAGGAGGGACAGAAAAAATAGAAGCCCGGGCATGCCCTTGCAGCCTGCTCCAACTCAAGTCAACCACTTTACCTGGGAGGGCCAGGCTGAGCAGAGTGGAGCTCCCAAGAGGTAGGGGAGCCCATAGGTCTAATCTCAATAAAAGCCAAAGCCTGCATGCATCTCTGTCCTTTGGTCATCAAGCCAGTTCAATTAGAGACAGTCCCTTGGCACCCGTGTTTCTGAGAGCAAGTTTCTGTGTCCTTGGTCCTGTTGATATTTGAGACCAGATCATTCTCTGTGGTGGGGGCCATCATGTGTGCTACAGCATGTTTAGTAGCATTTACCCACTCTATTCATCCAGCTCCCTTCACCCAATTGTGGCAACCAAAAGTGTCTCAATAGAGTCCAATGCCCCCTGGGGGCAGGACCACTCCTGATCTGTCACTGGGGCCTCAGGCCTGCTGGGGCAGGATGGAAGACATACTGACTTCGGTGACCCTCACTGTCTGGTTGACTTCCAGTCCTGCAGCCTGGGTTTGGCTAGGGCTGAGCTGCCCCTTTTGGGGGTTCCTGCCAGACCCACATGATAATGTCAATGACACTCTGGACAACAGGACAGCTGGGCTCCTTCCAGACTCAGGGGAAATACTACTTTAGGCCCCTTCCCTGCTCCTGTACTCTGTTCCACCTTGGACATTGCATAGGTTCCTGGGGCAACAGATTCTAGAGACTTTGGTCCCTGAGCTGTTTTCAGGTTATCAGTAGGGGTGTGGCCCTTGTCAGTGGGAGTCAGACCGCAGTAGCTAGAGAGCAGCCATGAGAAAGCAGGTGTTTGAATATTCCAGCTGCGACCGGGGCAGGTGTGTGAGGGACACAACCAGTCAGACAGTCCATGAGGTGAGCCTCATGGGGTGTCAGAAAGGGCAGCTGCCTTCTCCCACCACCCCAACACTCCCCCAGAAGGCTGAGGGACCACTGCTCAAAACAGACATTAGGGATCTGTGCCAGGCACCAGGCAGAAGTGAGAGCATTCCAGAAGCCCTAATACTCAGTCCTGGGAGACAGTTACATTGCCCTCCCAGGCCTGCTTTTTGATTAACTGTGGCTCAGAGAAGAGCACAGACTGCCCCAGGGTTTGGGTCTCAGGATGCCCAGGCTACAGTGGCCTCTGCTGGGCCGTGTCATGGTAGTTTAGCCCTATGCAGAACTCCCCACCCTTCACTTGGGACTGGCCCTGTCTCTTGCTTTACCAATAGAATGTGGGAAAGTGACATGGCATTACTTCTGGCATAAAGGAGGCCTGGTAGCTTTGTTTGTGTTTGTGTGTGTGAAGTCAGTGTTCACATAAGAAGCCCTTAGCACGGTAGGAAACCAGCCCACCTAGGGGAGGTCCCCGCTGAGCTCAGGCCACCTGAGGAACAGACCCTTCAGCCTGTTGAGCCACCCTCCCTGAAGCATGGAGGGCAAGTGAGCCACAGGCCGGGTCTTTCCCTAAGGAAGGACATTTGCTACAGCAACATGTCAGTCAGCTCCAGAGAAAACTGAGTTGGCCTCAACGGTTCTCCCCTTAACTTCCCAAAGCTTTCTTGAAAAGCACCCCAGAAAAAGCTGAGCAGAAAAGCCATGGCCATGGCAAGCTAGAAACGAGGAGCTGCTGTGAAGGAGTACCCAAAGCCTCAAACGAGCGGACATTTGTGGAAATACACACTGATCAACCTGGGGCGTACTCACTCCATTCCCTGGACGGCCAGTAGGTGTGGAATGGGGTCACCAGGAGTCAATCTCAGCTGAGTCTGTCCTTGAAGCCCAATGGGCTGGGAGAGCAAAGCTCACCAGAACCCCCTCCAAAACCCGCCCCAAGCGGATACCTTGCCATGCAACTAAGCAAGGGCCCCAAGGAGTCACCCCTTAACCCTGAAGCTAACCCATTAACAAGGTCAAAGAAGACTGATATTTCAATAAGCAATGGTGTAACTCAGCACCAGGACACTGCTAGGTAGTCAGAGTCCAGGCCAGCTTACTGACCTTACTCTATTCAATACCTCCAGCCCCCACACAACCCCATGGGCTCCCCCCATACGCAGCTCTGCAGGTGCCTTGGGCCCTGTTCTGGGCCAGGCAGTCTGGGTGGTTCTCTGCCCTCAGGGAGCACGACACACCTGGGCTTTGGAGGGGCCATTCAGGAGCTGTGTGGCTCCTGGGTAACTTCTAGCCCTTGAGCCAGTTTTTTTCATCTATTGTGGTGAGAACAACCCCCACCCCCTTGCCCTCAGGGTGGCCAGAAGCTTTAACAGGAGGTTGGTGGAAGCATGTGGTCCCAGGCTTAGCCCAGCCTCAGGCTCCCATGACAGGCTGCCCTAGCCCAGGGGTCCCCCAGGCTCCCACGGTAGGATGTCCTGGCCCAGGGTCCCTACCTGACTACACTGAGCCACCTACTGAGCCTTCTCTAAGCCAGGACAAGCACCCCCCAGAGGACCAGGCCCCAGCTCAAGGCCTAAAGCTGGCCAAGGAGACTCCTGAACAAATGAGGGCAGCTCCTGAGGACCTGCTGAGTTCAGAAAAAGAACCCAGTTGTGCTTTTCACCTCTAGAACCTCCTTCCCCAGGGCTGATCTATTCAGCAGGACAATTACACAAAACAATGGCCCTTTTACCTAGAAGCCATCCTTGGGACTTGATAGCAATAAGCAGTTCCTGGGCAGCCCAAAGCCACTGCCCCAGCAAGGGGGCAAATCCCCACAGGAATGGCCCAAAGTGCAAGACAGGATGTGACCAATTAAAATCTATTTATTTGTTTGTAATGAAACAAAACACTACAATCTGTTCAACACTGGGCTGGACACTGCTGTGATCGGGGGCAAGGAGGAAAGGGGAGGACAAAGCCTTGGCTCAATTACGAATGTCCAAGGCAAAACCTTCAGGAAGATTCTCCCCTTCCTCCAAGAGGCAGAAATAAAAACCACATGATAACCGTTGATTCCGATTAGAGAGGACACCGAGCTGGGCCTCAGCTCGAAGCTAAAGTCAGGGCAGAGTAAGGACCAGTCAGCAATGGTGTGAAGTGGCCAGGGAAGGAGGGGTGATTTTCCTGCCCAAGCTCACCTTCATCTCAAGACATGCCCGTCCTCTACCGTAGAGCCAGAAGAGCCCCTGGGCTGGGAATTCCAAGGGAAGGAAGGGTGCCAGTCCGAGACCCCTTGCCTGGCTATTCCTTCTCCTCCCACTCGGGCTGGTGTACCATGGTGAGGGCTCCGTGACACTGCAGCAATGCTGGGCACGGCTCCGCCAACCATCTCTCCTCTGGAGGGGAGGGCAGGGAGCAGGCAGCTTTGGGGGATGAAGTGGAGGGGAATGCCGGCAGCAAGTGATGTCCACGTACATGCTTCCTGGTACTGACACAGCCTCTTCTGTCTCTGCCCCCAGAGGCTGAGGGACCACAAGGCACGTGACTGCCTCCAGTCCCAAGGGCCAGGTCCTACTTGACCAACAGCACACTCAGCTTCTTCTTGTCTACATCTGGCTAGGCCTTGGAACCAAATCTCATGGGACTGAAGGGCTGGAGGGGAGGACCCCCAGGACACCCACCAGCACCTGTCCTCAGCCTGGCTCCCTGCAGCAGTTCAGCTGCATGGCACATCCAGCATGTGATGGGTAATTCCTCACTCTCTGGGAGAGCAGGACTGGCCGCAGAGGAGTGGAAAACTTTCCCACCATCTGATGACCATGTTAGGGAACTAAGCCTCAGAGCTCTGTGGTTGGGTGAAAAGCTTCCCTCACTGTCCACCACTTGCCAGCCCTGGGTAGGTAGGGGCTGCTCCCTACCCCCCAGGCTTTTGTGAGCTGATTCTGGACAAGGGTTTATTTCACCCCTTCATTGTTCTGAGGCTCCTGTGTCTTTAGGGTCAAGTCTGTCTACAACACTTGGGTTCCTCCATCCCAGAAGTTCATTCTGGCTTTGGAGGAAGGAGTTGGAAGAAACAGGAAGTACAGGGGAAGAGTCCGGTGAAGAGGTGCAGGGAAGGAAGCCCCCTCCTGCCCCTTTACTTCCAAGGCAGCAGAAGAAACTGACCACAGTGAACACTATGGCCATCCCATGTGTGGGCTGGTGCACTCACGTGGGAGCCACACCAGGGGATGGGCAGAGGTTTCCAGAGCAGGAAGGAGGGCTGAAGAGCCTGCAGGAAAGAGAAGAGAGGAGCAGGGGTGAATGCCTCTGCAGAAATGCTATGTCCCACCCTATGTCTGGCCTAGAAACCCACAGATGGTCCTGGGTACCTCCTAGAGTACCTTCTAGTGACCCCTGGGCTCCTCAGACCCAGCACAAATCAAGGCACTGGGCATGCCAGCCCAGGTGGCCATGGTGCACACAGGGAATCACCAATCTGCTCTAGGGCAGTCCATGCACAAGGAGGCTTAATGACCCTGTCCAGCTCCTATGTTCTCTGAGGTCTGAGAGAAACGGGCTCCCTGCAGCATTCATAGTAGTTAGAAGTGGCCATGTCTGACCAGAGCTCTTATTTACAAGGTGCCCACCTCAGAGAGCTTCACTGTAAGCTGATGATGTCACTGCTGTTAAAGCTGACATCTAAGCAGGATCTACAGAAGCATGCCTGAGACAGAGCAGCTCCAGACACCCCTTGGGAGGGTAATGAGTGGCCATGGACAGGTGGGGAGATGGGGCTTGATCTTTTGGTACCTTTTCCTTTTTTGAACCATGTGAATGCATTGTTTTTTTAAAAGTCATTCAGAAAGTAAAAAAATAAAGTTCTGGCCAAGAGCTCAAGGACTCTGCTTTCCTCCAAGTTTCTATGAGTGGGTCAGGAACTACCCTGGCCCTTGGTGCAGCAAGTGCCCATCCAGAGCCTTCTGTCTTTACTGTCGAAAGCACCAGGCCCTCCATTTCTCAGGACAATCATCCCACTCAGTTCTGCTCCCCTCTTCCCCACCACCTGTTCTGGCATACCTGTTGGAGACCAGGCACACCCGCCTCACGACTCTCTGCTCCTGAGCCCATGTAGCACCGGGCCTGCAGCTGGGGCAGGCAACGGGCCAGCTCCTCTACAGAGTACAGCCGAGGTCAGGTGGCCAGGAAGGTGGGCTCCACAGGGCGCCAAGGGGTGGGACCTGTTGGAGGCTGCCCGGTTGGCATCACATGGTCCGGCTATACTCAATGCCGCCCTTGGTGGAAATGCTGGACCATGGCAGGAAGCTGCAGAGCAGGCTGTGGGCCTGGCGGTAAATCCTGTGTGGGATGGAGCAGGGGCTCAGGTTTGCTAGAGCAGAGCCCAGGTGCTGGATGTAGTCCGTGGGGCTCTGTTAAGGAAGACGCCAACTCGCCTTGCCCACACACCCCTAGAGTAGCACTGTCAGCAGGGGTCTGAAGAGAAACCTGTAGGACTGTGTGCAGGCAGCATGACATTCTCAAGAGAGGCCAAGAGTCTGCTCCGCCTCTGCAGAGTGCTGGAAAACCTCCTTATATGGAGGGGCCTCCAGTGTGCAAAATAATAAAGGGCAGCACATGGGTATAAGAGGACCTTCCAGGCAAGGCCTCAAGTATATAGATACCCAGACTAAGGCTGAAGGATAGGGACTGGGTGCTGCAGGGATGGCAGAAGAGCAAATGTTTGCCCTGGCTGGTGTGGTTCAGTGGATTGAATACTGACCTGTGAACCAAAGGTTTGCTGGTTTGATTCCCAGCCAGGGCTTATGCCTTGGGTTTTGTTTTGGCACAGGTCCCCAGTAGGGGGAACATGAGAGGCAACCACACATTGATGTGTCTCTCCCTCTTCTTGTCTCTCCCTTTCCTCTCTCTAAAAATAAATAATAAAAGCTTAAAAAAAAAAGCAAAAGCAAATGTTCCTGGCCCTCCCCCTACTCTTAATCCTCAGAGGGGTCAACAATGCTAAACCTTAGCACAGAGACCCATATTCCCATCTTCACATGAGCTTGGAGGCCTGTGGGTTCTTGTACCACCTTTCTCTTTCCTGTTTATATCCCTATGAAATGGATAAATCCTAGACTCGTTTAATTACACACACATGCAAACAGTATTTTCTGGGCCATACACAATGGCTATTAAGAAGTCTTCCAGCTTCCCTCCTACCTATCAAGGGCTAAAGAGAGTTAAAGAGGAGGGAACAGGGAAGGGACATACCTCTGAGTCTTGTACCCCACACCCCATATTCAAGTGTTCAAAACAGCAAATAACTCTTTCATCTAGTTTTCCCATGCTAGCACAGAGGCCCCACAAGGGCAGGGGCTTTTGTCTATTTTGTTCATTGCTGTAGCCTTTGCATACCAGCAACAGGGGGCTTTCAACCAATACTTACTGGATGAATGAATGGACAGAGGGATGAGTGGATCTTGGACCAGGAAAGTGAAAAATCCACCCCTCATGCTGAGCTGAAGTCCAGGAACACTGAGTACCAAACCCCGTCTGGTTTCCCAATATCTGCAACCAGACCATCATTTCCAAATACACGTAGACCAGACCTACCCATAATACCATCTCATTGGGAAAAAATGCATCCTGTGAGCTTGGCCTGTGAATGTCATCTGAAAGTGACCACAGCTCCAGCTGGTTCACAGGCCCTGCTAAGAAGCCAGTCCCTTGCCCCCGAGAAGAAAGGATATAGGATGGTCCAGGGAGGGTGGCCGCCATTGATGTAAAGGACGTAGGTGAAGCCATCTTTGAGGACCCCACGGATGGAGTAGTAATAGGGGAGATAGTGGTGCTGCTTAAAGTCTCTGTTTTCGTAGAAGTTTATTGCTGTGTTGTTGGTGGTGAGGACGTGCAGGTAGATGGCTTTGCAGTGGTCCTGGGCGGTGGTGGATATGTGATCCTTTAAACTCTCAAGTAAAAGAGAACCTGCAGGTAAAGGGGCAACAGGACGGCAGAGAGGTGAGAAGGAAGGATGAGGCAGACAAGGAAGTCACCTACAGATCTCTCTGCCACTATATCAAAGACTGACTTCCCATAACCAGGTACTATCAAAGTCTCTAAATCCCACAGCCAGACAGAGCCCATGAGCTGCAAACCACTGGATGTCCAGGACCACGGACCCAGGCTGCATAGTTCCCTCCCAAGTGCTGGACCCACAGTGGAGGCTCACTAACTTCTCAGACAAGAAGTCTAAACCTAAGGCCAGAAAAATGGGGAACGGGCAGGCCTGGGTTACAGTAAAGACTGCTTTCGCTGGCTGTGTGGGGAATTTGGAGATAATATGGATGGCATAGCACCCCAGATGTGACAGGCATCTGCTATGTGGCAGCTAGGACTGTTTAATTATGTTTCCTGTACTCTTAATGAAAAGTGCCTAAAGACCAGACAAAAGCTGTGTAAGGCAGCAGATGTGGTCAAGAGGTGCCCATTCTGTAATGAGGACCTTTGGAAGTTGTTAGTAATTTGATCTCATCAGACTTGGGAATGAGGCCATAGCAGGAAGACCTGGTAATGTGTGGAAAGATCATGGGCTGAAATGAAGGTCACTTTGGGGGGTGGGGTACAGGAGACCTGTCAAGAGGAAAGGATGAAGGTCTGATGCAAAATGGAGGAGGGGTAGAGAGACAGCGGGATACTGAAAAGCAAGAATCATCCGGATTTGGGAAGTGACTAGATGTGGGTAGGTGGGGTGTATGTGCCAAAAACCATGAGCTTGGCCGCCCCTTACCTATGCCGTGCTTTCTGAATTCCTTCACTACTCCCAGACTTAGAATGTATGCAACTTGTGTGTCAACAGAGAAGTTGGAGGCTAGTATATCTCCATCCTAAAGAAAAAGTCAGAAATAAAGTCAGGTCCACATGAAGTCAGTTGAAGTACCCGGTCCCACCGTAGAACACATCTCATGTGCCGACTCTCCCACCCACAATACCTGGGGGGACACCAGGGCAGGAAGGGACAGAACGGAGCATGTGGAGAGTCACCCCTACTCCATGGAAACCAGAGAGTATGGGCCTTTCTACTAAAAACTATTAAAAATAAGAACACTCACAAAAAGTTGTTTCTCTCTGGAATGGGTGGTAGGCCATACAAGGAAGGACACTGGGCCACACAAGGGAAGCTATGGCGGGCGGCACAAAGGAAGTGGCTGTGCTGCGTGGGCTCTACGTGGTGCTCACACGTGTCAGCTGACACACTGAGAGACCAAACAGCCAGACAAACACAAAGTTGAAAAGTTTAATCAATAATGGGGATAAATGGTAATGGAAAAAATACAGTAAAAAATAACTATTAAAAAAAAGAAAAGTTTAAAGGATCCTGTACTGCCCCAGGTGGTCTTGAAGTAAAGACAGAGGGGAGTGTGGGTGGCCCCTCCACTGCCTGCACCAGGCAGGGCAGCGTGCCACGGCCAGCTACCCCACGTGTCTCTCTTGGTTTCGGAGATAGAATTCTGGACTGAGAGTTGTGAATTCGACCACCAAGGGGTTCTGATGTTCTTTTACCTCACAAAAAAGAAGGCGGCTCAGTGAATTCTCCCCCATGGAAAGGATGCCTGGTGACTTGGCCTCCCTGGTTAAGTGAGTGGCTCCTGTGTGCTGGGAGTGGGCTGGCCTGTCCCTGTCCCTACTCCCCACTCTCCTGGCCCTGGCCCCAGCTCTAGCACTCCACACCACAGTGAAGCTAGATACAAGCAAACTCAGTCTTAGGGAAGGGAGTATCCTTATTGTTCTGGTTACTTGAAGCCCATGAGAGGGTCAGGGAAGAAAGGCAAGCACTTCATTCCCCAGCTGATGTCTAACAGGCCCTGCTTCCTCTTCCCAGTGTTGAATTCATCCAGCCTCTCAGCAGGGCCTAAAAAGTGCCAGAGTGCCGTATCTTAGCACTAAAAAGATGGAGTAAAAGGTACTCAAAAGAAACCAACTTTGCCAAAAATCTAGTAACAGGCACATTAGGGAGAAAAAAAATTGAGTGGGTCTGGTCTCTAAAAGAGAGATCCTTCTTGCATTTTTAAAGCAATAGCCTTAAGCTAAACAAAAAGGAACAGTTGCCAGTTGGTGGACTTTTTTTCCTCCTCCTTGGAGTAAATACCCATGTGGGATGCTCCTCAGTCGTTAAGATGACCAAAAGCATAGGCAGAATCTAGACCCAAGTCAACCACATGGAACAATGTGTCTGTGACCATGACCTCACATTTTACATTCAGAGCAGGACTTGCTAACCTGGGGTCCACAGACTCTCTGGGGTTCTTAGACAGACTTTGGAGGGGGTCTATGAAGTTGAATTAAAAAAATTATATCTTTATTTTCACTAACCTCTAACTGAAACTTAACATTTCCTTCAGCACACCACAGCAGTATTAGCAGTTTCTGTGATGCTGCCATCAATATAAATCAGTCCCTCGCAACTGCAGATTCTCAGTGGACCATTTATCCCCCTCCTAACTTCAAAATGACAGTCCTTAGTAAGAAGCTGTGGTTAGGACTTGTTACTTAACGCGCATACGACTGCATCACATACACAGAGAAAGAAACCAGCGGGATGTGAATCTGAGCTCCTAAGAGAAGGGTCCACAGAGCAGGCAGCACGATTCTGTCCCAAGGCCCTGGCCCCTCATCACTGAACACACTTACCTCCTTGTGTATCTTGGTCCTACTTTTTATCTCAGCTACTATCATTCCTACAATGGTGCCCCTGTAGGTTGCGGCAAGTGAAAAGAACTTCTTATTGGAGGTGATGTCACGATACCATGAGTCTGGGTACCTGAGGAGAACAAACTCAGGTGAAACTGCCAAAGACCAAGTCCGATTAACATTGTACTTCAGACAGTGGACCCAAGGGGGGACTCGAGGCTACTCTGTCCACTGCTCCAGGGTTGACAAGGAGCCTGCCGCTCAGTCTCCACCTAAGTGTATCATTCTCAGTGAATCATATTCTTAAAGCAGCAATCCATCCAGATAGGGAATTTCTGATGGGAAAATTATTTTATAAGATGTAGAGATAAGGGGAGGGGCAGGAACCTTCCATGACATTGTCTCTCTGTGAGCTGTGTCTGGAGGGGCAGCTGGAAGAGTTCAGACTCAAGACCTTTGGTAGCCCGAAGGGAGCAGGGAGGAGAACATTTCCTGCAAAGTCCTAAGTCACAGTGATGAAAGGCAGATGACTCAGCCCCAGATAAAGAGACTCAGTGATGGAGAAAGGGCTCTAAGGGCTTTAAGGGTCTGTGGGTTTGTTTCTTAACTTGGGACACAACAAGTCAGCCCAGATGCCTTTCTTGAGACCGAGAGCTGAAAGAGAGTCAGACCCCAAACTGTGTGCAGATACAGCAGAGAGGTGCTCTGCTTGGGTCTGCTCTGCAGAGGCCACTGAGCAGCCACCAGAAGGCCCTATGGGGCCAGAGCGTTGTCCAAGCTCCTCTCATGGTCGCAGTGGGTGAAATCTGAGGTTAAGACTCACAGACATACCATATTTAGCAGGGTCTCGTTTATTTTTAATTTTTACAAGTTTTGCACCTATTTTTCTCAACAAAAGCTCTATGTGCATATTACAAAAAAATGTAGGAAATACAGTCAGTCAAGCAAAACTAACAATAATCTACCCATCCCAAAATACAAAAAAACACTTTGCTAGATGGTACATATCTTCACAGGCTTTTATCTTGTTTTCAAATGAAAAGTGGAATTGTGGTACCAACTATTTTCTAGTCTTTTTTCATTTACTAGCATGTAAAAAAAAATTCTTGTCAAATGTATCTTGATGACAGATATTTTTTTCCTGGCTGAGTAATATGGCATTTCTGCATGTACGTGCCCATGTACGTGCCCATATATGTCACCAATCCCTTACTGGTAAGTAACTTAATTTGCTTCTCAATTTTAGATTTATAAACAGACTGTATCAAACATCTTTGTAATTAAGTTTCTCAGCAAAGTCCTTTTGGGGAACTCTTCACATAAGGGATACAGTGAGGTAGAAAGGGTCTGATGGCCATCAGGGAGCAGGGCCTGGGGTTCTTTGACAGGCAAGGTGACTCTGAGCCACCATGGCACCTCCAGGTCATCCTCACCTTTGCACAAGCCTGCCAGCTTCAGTGGATCTGTGGGTACTACCCCCATCTGCTCCCCTACCCCTCCAATCTGCAGCTGGGGGCAGAGGGGGCCATTCAACTTACTCAATGGGGAACCAGTCGCCACAGAGATGCTTCACAGTGTCTATGTCATCGTGGCAGAGGAGGCGCAGGCTGACCTCGCTGAGGGCGCTGGATGGCACCACCTCTGTCATTCACACCTGCAGAGAGAGAAGCAGTGTCAGGAAGGCAGCCAACCCCCATCGAGCCCACTGACCCCATCATGGCACACTTACTTCCTCTTCCACCTCCAACCTGTGAGGCAGGAAAGACGGGAGGACTAATGCCTTCCCCCATGGATGGCAGTGCCCTCAGTAATCGCATGAAGCAATTACTGTCTCTCACAATAATCCCCGGTACCAGGTGTCATACTCACCCACACACTGCAGACAAGGAAACCGAGGCTTGGGAAGAGCTGGCAGGATGGAGACCTAAGGTCCTTTGCACTGTTCACGCAAGATATTTCTTGCGTGAACAATCCCAGAGAGCAGCCTGCCTTTGGTCAGCTTTTTCTCTCTTCTCTGCCCTCTGAGCTGCCCTCAGAGCACCCGCCTCCCTGGTTGGTCTCCTGTCTCCCTCTCACCGCCATTTCTCCATTGCACAAAGCACACAGCCCTATCAGCCCAACTGCTCCCGACTTGGGCCAGTGGCCACCAACCCTTTAAGAGCTGCCTGGGCAGGGTCCGATGACCTGCTGGATTTCTAGAAGTGGCACTTGCTGGGTGGGTCATTTTCCCTCCTTTATCCAGCAGATAAAGACTCATGAGAAAAGAGAGAGAGAGAGAGAGAGAGAGAGAGAGAGAGACTTTGCAAGACACCAGATGTTCAATCAGGGGTCATGAGTTGCTGACAACTATTTTAAATCAGGAAATTACATTCAGCCCAGGTTGCTGATGGAGCAGCTGCCCTGGGTCCAGGTAAAGTAAGGCAAGGAGGCGGAAGGAAGGCCAAGTATTGGACTCTGACAGAAGAAACACAGGAGTCTTTTTTCTTTATGTGGAAAGCTGGTAATAAAAGGCAAAGGATCGTGAATTTACATCTTTTTAGGAGGAATAGTGATAGAACTGAAATGTCATAACTTTGCAACTGCTGATGAAAATAACCCAGACAAGCAAGATTCATCAAAAGCTTTTAAACCACCTAGTGGAGGGTGTTGGGGAACATGTATGAGGCATGAAGGCACCCACAAGCCTTATCCATCACAAAGGAAAAGCCTTTCAACCTTCAGATTCTGCGCTCACAATTTCCCCAGTGATGGAGCCCAGCTTCTCTGACCAGTGTCATGGGTGTGAAATCCACAAAGCCCTCAGGTTCCTGCCGAAAATGCTGAGCCTGAAGCCAATCGTGCTCCAGACCTGACTTCACAACTACAGATGACACCGGCACACAGGCACGATTCCACAGCACTGTGACACCTGCCACACTGAAGGGTGGTACTCTATAGGATGAATGGCCTGGTCTCTTCAAAACGTCAATGTCGTTAAAAAAAACCAGAGGCAGACTAAAAGACAAAAGGAGACCTACAACCAAATGTAATGTGTAAAACCCCTACTGGAAAAAGAAAAGTCACAACAACATTTTGTGATAATTTAATTATGAGCTAGATAAAATTGTCATTAACAGTCTTAGATGTGACACAAACACAATCGATTGGCACGACTGTGTTTATGAGTCCTTAGTTCTAAACACAAAACCAAACCAAAACACCAACCAAATAAGAAAATACCCCCAGACTTGGTAGATCTGAACTTCCCATGTTGCTTGTTTTCTTCCCACTAGGATGCACATTCAGAAAATAAGACACCGTTTGGCCTGGTGTCTTGTAAACAGCTTGACTATCTGGCCTACACTACACGGCAGGGCCATTCCAGTGACCAGCACGGCTTTCATGGCCATCTTCCAGCCGCCCATCCCCAAGGGCACCCGGGACTGTCTATGTTCCAGTGAGTGTGACCTCAGGGACTTCATGCTGCCTAAGTGGCTAGCTACCTCTTGGGAGATGGACTGGTTGACCAAAATAGGCAAGTCCTGAGTTTTTATGAGTCATCTCTGTCCAAAATATATCCTAGTGGTCATTGGCTAGGAGGGTCTCCCCAGTCATCCTGGGTAAAGGGCTGTTTTGCTCCACAGAACACAACTGTATGGGTTCAAGAGGTCCACCTGCCAAAAGCAGGATAGAGACAAGCACATCACAGCCCCCAGATGGAAACAGCTTCCCTGGAGGTTTCTACACAACCTCTACCACACAGGTGACCCTCCCTTCCCCCAGAAAAGGAACAGATTCCCCACCACACACAAAAACTGAAGGTGTTTTTTCTTGTTAGATATGAGAATAGCATTGTGGTTATGTAGAAGATGTCCATATTCTTTAAGAGATGCACACTAAATATGTAGGGGTGAAATGACAAAATGATGTTCTGGATTTTAATTAAATTGGAACAAAAATGGCAAAATATTAATAACTATTGAATTGGACGATGGGTATGCCAAGTGAATGTTTAAAAATATCCTTAACTAAAATTAACCACTGATCAACCAAACTCCTCTACCTAGGCTGAGTTTTGGATACGGACAGCAGGTTTTCAGGGAGACAGATTTCAATGCCTTTGGTGTCTTCACTGAGAGTTTTGGGAAGCAGTGTCACAGCCTTTGCACACTTCCTCCCTGGAAACAGTGAGTTCTCAGCAAATCATGGTCGGCTGATTGCTGAGCACTCTGGATCCCAGATGAGTCAGGCACTCGGTTCAGAATGTTATGGGGGCAGAGATTACTGTTTGGGACCCATCTTAACCAACCCTCAAATTCTACTAAGGTTTTAAAGAGTGACAGTGTAGACACTTGCTGTGCGGTCCACGGACACAGGGTGTTGTTTTAGGAGCTGTGCTTGAACTTGCCCAAGGTGCTAGGTATCAACCACAGGGCCACTTCGGGGCAACACCCTTCCTTTTCCCTCAGGGCCAAGAAAACTTGGAAAGACAGAAAGCCCTGTCAAAAATTTGAGCCTCTGGAACAAAGTCAACAATCCTACATCATCCCAGGCCAAGGCAAGGCCTGTCCATCAATGCAGTCTTTCTGGAGAGGGCTCCTGAGACAAGGGTTTCCCTCTCTGTTGTAATCAGCTCTAGGGAAAATCCTGGCAGACAAGCCCAATTACCTAATCACCTCCTTAATCCAAGTGGACAAACAGGATGACCTATAAAAATTCTGCTCAACACCCTAGTGATAATACAACCCACGCTCTAAACTAAGCAAGGAAGTATGAGTGGGAGTCCACTATGGGCTCACCAAAAAACAGCCCTCAAGCGGAAGCAACCCAAATATCCATCAATGGATGACTGGACTCAAAATGTGGTCTATCCATACAGTGGATATTCAGCACTGATACATACCTGCTACGATGTGGATGAACACTGAAAACATGTTGAGTGAGAGAAGGGCCACATATCTTATGATTCCATTTATATGAAATGTCCAGAATAGTCAAATCCATGGTTGCCTACAGGTGGGAGAACTGGAGGGCGATGGCAGAGGGTGTGGAGTTTCTTTTGGAGTGGTGAAAATGTTCTGAAATAAAATGTGATGGATGCACAGCTCTGAACACACCCAAAACACTGAAAGGTGCACTTGGAATGGGTCGACTGTATGACATGAGGACATTATATCTTCAAAAAAAGCTGTTAAAAAAAAAACAGCCCTAATCCTGAGACTGAATGATTCTTTTGTGAGCAAATGGATAAAAAAAGATTCTTTTTGAAGACATAGTAAATTCCAGAAAGAATCACAAGCTTTCCAGCCTGCAAGTCAAACTGCAGGGACTCATGCTGGTGCCCTGTGGTGGGACTCCTTTAGTGGGGTTGGCCCAGAGCCCACCTCGTGTGGGCCCACCACTGTGCCAGGTCTGCTAGGGTGGGGCTGGGGATGCTCTGGGGAAGATGAGGCTGAAGATCAAGGGGGCACAGACTCACGAGATGAGGCAGAGCCACCAGCCCACCAAGGCCAACGTGGTGGCTTACTCCAGATTTAGGCCAACTTTAGTATTTCATATTCAAAGGAAAAAAAATCTGTCATTGGCTTGGAATGTGTAAGAAGTGACCCCCAAAAAGTTATCAAGTCTCAACTAAGCACATGTGTGTTGTCCACACATTTTCAGGGGGTAGCTGCTTAGATGATTTTGAGGAAGGAAAGATCACGCCAGATATCCCCTGGCTAGAAAATTAATGCAAACCACAAACCACCGGATAAATATACAATCAACTTTCAGCCCCAATGCATGACGTATACTAGTAAATTCCACACTGTCCTCTTCCCTGGCAAACCAGCTTTGGTGGTTCGTCTGGGTCTGGACAGGCTCAAGCCAGCCCCAGAAACAGGGTGACTTGACTGCGCACCCTCATCACCCGTGGCAGAGCTCCAGATGTCTCATCGGCTGCACCCCGCTGTTTTCTTAACCAAGGGCAAATGTGCTCTGAGCTCCTCCTACAAAAAAGAGCTGCAGGACAGGCTGCTGTCAGCTTGCTCTCAGCAGTCACTCCACCAGAGCTGGCCGGATAAGTGCAGGCAACTGGCAATACCAGCTAGCAAAGCTAAGGTCTGGATGGCCAGAGAGAGACCTGGGGCACCTGAGGAGCTGGAGCCACTGCCCAGTCAATAAGTGCTAAGATGCAAGGCGTTGACCTCTATGGTTGCCTCAGCAGAGGACTGACTACAGAGGCTAGGGGTGGGGCACTTCCTGAGGAGATGGAACTGTTCTATATCTTGATGGTGGTGGTTTCACAAACGAACATATATGCACATGTTAAAAATCACTGAGCAGATTTTCTTGTATGTATATAAACTTCAACAAAGTTAATGCTAAAAGATTAAAAAAAACACTATATTTTGAGGTTTGATAGAAAAGGGAGAGATCCATAATAGATCAGCATCTCTTATGCGCTGGGATTTATATTTTTTTCTCCTACTATCCTTGGGACAAGGCTCTCGACCAAAAGGGGCATGTTGTTCCCTGTTCAATTTTCAAGAAAAACAGTGGGCTCCAGGACACACAGCTATTTGTGGATTCTCACATCCCTATTAAAAGTCCTTCCATGTTTGCAAAGGCCAGTTCTTCAGATGCCTTGATTTAAAAACAGAAACGTCACATTTAACTAGGGAGAAAGCAGAT